ATGAGTTTTTTGGGTTCATTGAGAACATGGTTGTTGTTCAATAATAAAATTATTCCTCAAAAATACAACTTGCCTAATAATTCTGCACTCCCTGTCGATAAATCTAGATAATGAGGCATGAGATATAGGGACATAAAACTAAAGATAAAGCACGAGAAATAAGGTCTTGCAAACAGGAACCAACTAACCATGTGGAGTTTGTGTTGGACTCCGTTAGGCTGGGATCAGCTCGTCTCGTGACATCAGTAATTAGCAGACTCTGTTATTAAGCTAACATGTTGTTGGATTTTTACTCAGCATAACTGCAATGGATTTCTTTCCCATGTTCATTGCAGCTGCACAGTTTACCCATAACAGTTTGTCCTGAGAGGGAGGTGTGAAGTTCAAAAGATGGCAGACTTGCCACCAGACAGGCTCAGCATGGAACCACCTTTTAGCAATGTTGGCATTGACGTGTTTGGGCCCTGGTCTGTGTCAGACGGTCGCATGAGAGGAGGCCACGCTGATAGTAAGAGGTGGGCTGTCCTCTTCACCTGTCTGTGTGTCAGAGCCATACACATTGAGGTAACTGAGTCATTGGTTTCCTCCAGTTTCATAAACGCATTCTGAAGGTTTATGGCGATTCGAGGGCATTTGCAAAACATATGCTCTAATTTCACCAGAGCTTGCAAAGATATGGGGATTCCCTCAAATCTTGATGGGAAAGCCATGGAGAGGTTTCTGTCAGAACATGGATGTATGTGGACCTTCAACACACCACATTCCTCTCATATGGGAGGAGCATGGGAAAGGATGATCGGCATCACACGTCGTATCCTGGACTCGATGCTTCTTCAATTGGGCTCCTCCAAACTCACACATGAGGTACTCACAACATTCATAGCTGAGGTTTCAGCCATAGTGAACAGTCGACCACTTGTGCCTGTGTCAAACGATCCTACAGATCCTTTCATTCTTACACCTGCTTCATTGCTTCAAGAAGCCAGAAAGTAGGTCCATGCCCAGTACCAGAAGGAGATTTTGGTCATAAAGACCTACTGAAGCAACAGTGGCACAGGGTCCAAAGTTTGTCTAACACATTTTGGGACAGGTGGCGGAAACAGTATCTGTCAACGCTACAGTGTCAAACAAAGTGGACATCTGACCGGCCAAACCTTAAGCAAGGAAGTGTGGTGCTTCTTAAGGACAGTCAGTGCAGTAGGAACGAATGGCCCTTAGGAATTATCGTTGATGTGTATCCCAGTAAAGACGGAAGGGTGCGCAAAGTGCAAGTAAAGGTCATCAAGAAAGAGGAACCAAAGCTTTACGTCCGACCTGTGAATGAGATGATCTTGCTCATTCCTCCAGATGACTGAAATGTGTTAGACCTTGTCATATTAGTAGGTGAAACCCGCTGGGTTTCAGACGGGGAGTGTTCTGTTACCATGTAACTGTGTTCTGTTTAAATAGATTTTCCCTGAGAAAGTTGCTCTTTAGTGCCTCCTTCTGGCATGACCTGGTGTAACGTGCGCAAAGCTGTCTCTGTTCTATGATGTCATCAGAAAGTGCATGCTATTGTTTGGGGAAAAGACTTCTGTTCTCTGCTGTAGTAACAATTGTCTCCCTTAAGATGGTCTTTAAGGGCGTTGTCGGTATGAAATTCTGTTCCATCCTTACTAATGAACAAAATCTACTTGAAATGCGATTGCAGTGTTTGTTTAGAAATGTTTGTAAAGAGAGGATTCGCTAACGCTTTTGGCGAAACAAGTCATTTGTACTGTTATTGTGTATTTGTCCTTGTCTTTGATTTCTAAGAGCATTTCATGTTGTTTTCTCAGTTTTATTCTACTTCAACTGGCCTAAGTAAAGCGAGTGAAGTCAAACCCTCGTGTCTGCGTGGTCATTTTGAAGAGGAGTTGAGTCTGAATGTCGACTCTAGCAAGGCGTTAGAGGCAGAGGACATTACAGTATGTGTTCAGGCTACACTTCTCGTTATTATCCACGTTTCCAAATTAAGAAGACACCTAACAGTCACAAAATATTATCTAATTAAATTTAGTTGTAAAGATCATAGTTAGTTATAGAGTGAAAAAGACAGAGTGTGGCTGCACAGTGATGATTGTTTTAGTAATACATGAAAAAACAAGCCTGGTAATTCATTACTCATAATTTTTGTTCTATCTATACAGAATAATATGTATAATTTTATTTCATAACAATGTGAAATAAGTGAGAGTTACTACTATAAGTACGAGTTAATATGTTTATATTAGTTTATATACATTTCCATATATCCACTTATCTCTCAGTCTGCTCCTCAGTCCCAGTTCTGAAAAACAGACCAAAGATATTAGAAGGTACATTTGAGATTAAAGAGGTTATTCTTCCAAAAATGAGATGGCACAAGAGAGAACAACGTAACCAATGTAAACAGAACAATTACGAAAATCCATAAAATAAGTGAGTAAAACAGAGTAACTGAACATGTTTACATTTGTGTAGAGATGATTTTGGTCAGTTTTATGCCACTTACTGTGATATGCACATGAAAATAAATAGAAACTTTTTTATTTGCTTTATCCATTGAAAGATCTGCTTAATTCACAAAGCTTTCCACATTTTTTCACGTTACAGCCTTTTGATTTTTCGTCTTTAAATTCTCGTACAACACCTCATAATGACAAAGTGACAAAAGTTTGTTTGAAATCATGTGTTTGATTGTCTTCACCTGTATCCAATCACTCTATAAGACAATGAACACACAAGCATGGTGCTCAGAGCATCAGACTACCACACATCAGCTGCTGATGGTGCGTAACTGTGGATTATCTTCTTCGTATATGGATGCCAAGTGTCTCCTCTGCTAAAGGAGGCAACAAAGGAAGCACCAAGGAACCTTTCTTTAGTGTTCATCCTACCAGCTGTGATTATGGCTGCTGCACAGACATGTTCAGGTCACGTCGGTCAATTCAGAGCCTTCTCTTAATGTTTGTCTGATCCGCCGTCTTGCACTCTGTGGTTTCCCACTCTGCATTTTTGGGAATCTTGTTTTGTGTCTCTGCTGAAAGGATTTTGTGTTTCCTTGTTAATAAACGCTGATTGTTCATTCCTCCTGCCTTCATGTTTTATATTTCCTTCCTCGCAGCTGCTTTATGATTTATGTCAGTGCTGTAAGAGATGGTGACTGGGACAGTTCTCACATACTAATATTCTTCCAACAGATGACCTGAGGATCGTGCTGTTTGGGAAGACCAGGGTTGGTAAAAGTACTCTAGGAAACATCATCATGGGGAACACAGAGACTTTCACCTCAAAGGATTCGTCCAAAGGTCGCACACAGAAATCCCACAGCACTGTGGAAGGTCAAAAAGTGGCTGTTGTTGATACTCCAGGTCTGTTTAAACCTGGAAAACATGAAGATGAGCTGGTGAACGAGATCAAGCGATCCATTGATCTTGCCAGTCCTGGTCCTCATGTGTTCCTGCTGGTGCTGAGGCTCGGTATGATCACCTCTGAAGAATTAGAGGTACTGGAGGTTTTTGAACGCACCTTTGGCAGACGTGCATTGGCCTACACAACAGTGGTGTTCACCCATAGAAATGAAGATGAAGACTATGAAGCTAACATACAGGAGGCTATGATCGAGAGTAAGGATTTCAGAGAACTCATTGAGCAGTGCCAGTGGAGATATTTTGCTTTTAACATTGAAGACAAAAGTCCTGCTCAGGTCACCGAGCTGCTGAAGAAGATAAACCGATGGGAAAAGATTACTTCTACACTCCTGACAAGCTCCAAGAGGCTGGAAAACCGGACGAGCAGGACGAAAAACCAAAAACAGCAGAAACAACAGGCAGGCGTGCGCTTCTGGAAAGGACTGGATTGGTGGGAATCATTTTGGGATCTGTGGGGGGATATTTACTTGGAGGTGGTGAGCTGACGTCTACATCGGGAGCTTTACTGGGAGCTTTAGGGGGTTCAGTACTGTTGATGGGAACAACAGCTTTAGCGATGAAGGCCAAAACGCTCACTGAGAAATGCTGCAAAAAGTGAGTTTTTAATTGATTTAGCTTTTTGTAAAATGTTTCAAAAACAGATTCAAACCTTTAAAAATGAAAGAAATGGCCACGATGGCTCGTTACCGTGACGATTTGACCTGGGCTGTATTTTCATCTAATACCAGTTTGTACCACATGATGCAGCAGTGAGTCGGTGTAATGTTCATGCAACCAGGTCTCTTTTTCTTTTTTTACCTTTTCATATTGTAAGGGATATTTGTGCTTTAAGCAACAGGACTAGATGTTACAATCCCTGAACATGCATTGCTTCAAATGTAGAAAGTCTTGAGCAATGACTGTTATCATCGTTTAGTGCCTCAACCTCACAAGATGTTTCTGTCTTTTATCACAAGCTAAGGGACATCTGTACAGTTTGTATTCTGGTTGCTGATTGGTTGAGCGCTCTAAACTCTTTAAAAACATCTAACTTTCAGTGGTTTGCAGAGTAGTTTACAGTAAAATAATCACCAGTGAATTAGCAGTTGTTGGTGGAGGGGAGAGCCACAAGATTACTGGGTACCTCCAGATACTTTACTGGGAAACAAACCTGAAACAGAACATCATCCTCCATAATTGCTCTTTAAAAAAGAAAAATCATAGAAGCCAAACATCTGTTAGTGTCAGCTTTCAAATTTGCACATTGCATTTATTATCTCCATGTTTTGCTGTTTGAAGATGCTGTTCTGGGAGCTTGTGATTGCTCTTTTTGTAGCATTTAAATCACTTTAAAAACTGTGTAAAGTAATAAAAATCAAAATAATATAATTTATAATTTCTGTTATGTTGTATTTTTCATTTATTACCTGAAGCAGTGCTTTGATATTGAGATTGTAGTGTTACAAATATTTAAGCTCCACAAAAAGTGATATGGGTGTATAATAAGTGAAATAAGTTAAAGCTTGTACAACATGTTCAGCGCCACCTTGTGTCAGTACAGAATGTGACAGCAACCGGTTGGTTGTTTGCTGTTAATAGACTTACTATGCATGTAAGCTAGCTGGTGACAGAACTGCTAACTCAGTGGAAAACATGGAAACTAACATTAGAGCAGAGCAGACTAAGGAGGTCTCTTTTTGTGCTGCAATGATAAGCTTCATGTTAAGAAACCAAGGAGCCAGTGCCCACTTCCACTGTCAGTCCCTTTAGCAGTAAGTGGTTCTTCGATGTTTGGCTGTGCAGGAATAGGTATGTCCTCCTGTTAGCCGTGATGTTCGGGTTTGCAGAGAACTGTATAAATGAGGACTGTGTGCAGGGGAGCCTGTTTCAGTTCGACAACCCCGTGGTTCACTCGACCGACATTTTCCTTGTCGGGTTAACTTTAACACTTATTTCCTAAATCCAGCTTCACAGACCATTTTACAGAGCAGAGATCCATGCTGAGAATTTTCCTTTCTACATGTTGTGGTTCATGTCCACTTTAAAATGTCCAAAGGGTTGGATTTGGTCCTTCAGTTTGAGATTTTTATATCAAACTCTTACTTGACAGCTTAAAAATACTCGAATCAAACGAATCACAAAAATATCTTTGTGTTTTTTTCACCTCTATCATGGAGAGTCCCAGCTATTTAACCTGCTGTGGGGACATCACCTTGGGCTACGTCGTAGCCTAGCCTAGCCTAGACGTAGCCTTAGATGCTGGGGAATCAAAGGCAGACGGCTCTGCTGAAAAATGAAGTAAGGGAGGGTGAGAGGAAAGAGCAGAGAGCTCGAACAGGAAGCACAGCGTGCTTCTGCTCACAGTCTCAGAGGTGAAGCCCTGAAGCTGTGTGGTTTAGTGAAATGCTGCCCTCTGCTGCTCACAGGAGGAAACACAGCCTGCAGCTGCAAACAAGCTTCTGCTGCTGAGCCTGTTGTTCTGCAGTTTCACCATTAACCACTAGGTGGCACTGATGTTTCTCTCTGTGAGTTGATCCAGCTGCCCCGACATTAACTCAAGTCTCCTTTTCCAGATCAGTTTCCACACAGTGGGAAAAGGCCATGGAGTGAAGGAAAGGTGTGGAGGAGAGACTTAAAAGGACTCAGGAAAGGAGAAGCAGACTGCTTTTACGCTGGACTCCTTAATCATGTCTGCACTGCTGAAACTACACTGTCTACAGGATGGACTACAAAAGCCGGCCTTACATCATCCCAGCGTGTTCTGTCGTTTCCTGCAGGGAAATATAACACTTCACCCAACTGCGAGAATTCAAACAGCTTTATTGTGACTGCAGATGCTCCAGTGCAGAAAAACAGCGACAGAAGAAGAAGCAGCCAGACCTGAGTAGGAGGCCAATCACAGCTCGGGGGACACTTGGGGACATTTTTATTATTATTATGAAAACTAATTAAAAATACTATAAATGCTTTAAATGAACTATGAAATAAAAAATGAACGGTGGAGGGAAAAAAAGTTGTTTTCATGACAATCTTGATGCAAAAATGTTCCATTAATATTATTTTAAAATAACAATATTTGCAGCAAATATTTGAAAAATGTTTGTTAATGAGCACTGAAATGTTTTTTACAGAGTTAATGTAGAAAAGAGTTCAGTGAGCTTTGAGGCTGAAATCATCCCACACACTGTTTCTTTTTTTGGTCTTTGGTGACATCAGAAGCTCTCAGACGAGAGCCAATGAAGCGGTTTGAGGGGAAACGTCACGAGGACGCCGCCGCACTCACGTGTCTGCCATGAATATGAATCTGAAGCCTGCCAGCTTCCATTAGCGCGCTCTTCAAACTGCTACTACAATTTAGCCTAGCATTGCTTTGGAAGGAAGTGATGTCCCTAGAGTCTGACAGATGGCGAGCTGCAGTCTGGAGACATGATGCTGGTGATGGTGGTCATGGTGATGGCGGTCATGGTGATAGACTTCCTGAGTGGACAGATCGATGGCGTATCTCGTGTTTCAGAGGGAGTAAAGCTTCAGCTGCTCCTCTATGTCGGCCTCCGTCACCTCCTGGTTCGCCTTCAGCAGCTGGAAGATGGCCGCCAGCTGCTCCTGTTGCACCCTGGGATGTCAACACACACACACACACACACACACACACGCGGTTAACAGTTTAGCCTCCAGGATCATTTTTGTTGTTGATCCTCGCTCAGGTGTTTTCAGATAGTGGGTTTGGATGTTCACTGAATGATTTCAATATGAATGAACCAGATTATTGCAAACAGCTAACAGTCTCACCATCTGAGCCTTACATAGCTGCCTGCAGCTAGCAACCAGGTAGCACATCATTAGACAGTACTGCGCTGAAGTCTTCAGCCAACGAGCTTGACAATGAACGTTTGGTGTGAGCACCTTCATCCTTCAGCTCTCTGAGGATCTCTTCTCCAGGCTTCTTGAAGGACGTTCAGAGATCTTCTTTGGATGTTTCTGCCTCAGGATGTCCCTACCAACGCTCCCTCTAATGTTTTCATGTGTGTGAACACACAAACACCCTGAGCGGACACTTGGACCACACTGAGCAACAGCAGACGTGAGCACTGTGGTCACGCCAGCATCGAATCCATGCAAGTTACATGGTTCATTAAAGTAATCAAATTACAGCATTTACATTTATGTTACACGACTTTTAGTTAACTGCTTTAGCCCACTTACAATGAAAATTTAAAAAAATCTTGTTCATGACCTGTAGCATGTTAACACTATTGGAAGTAAAAATAACTTGAACTCCAATTTTGAAAACACAACTTTCTTTCTTTTCTTTTTTTTATTTTCATAAAGCTCTGACTTGTATTGTGAGTCTGTGGTCTGGGAGAGAGTCTGTAACTCTGCAAAATACAGTAAATAATGACCAATGTTGGGCAGGTAATGATATAGTTACTTCTTCAAAAAAGTAACTGAGTAATGCAAACAACAAAGTTTTGCAGCTGTTTACCTAAAAATGCAGCCAAGGCGTTTTTTAAACAAACATTTCAAACTATTTACAGAACAATCAGCTGTTCTGCATCAAATCTGATGCCACACAAATTATTTGTGTCACAAAAAATAATTTCTGTCCGCTATGAGATGAAGGAGAACAGCAGCCTGATACCTGCAGGCCTGACAGCAGCAGATGTGTCACTGCTGTAACACCTGTAACACTCAGCAGCCGCCTCATTGTTCTGACACACAACAAAACCATTGACTACACTTAGTTAGCAGAGCGATGCTACTGTGAACTGAGGAGCGATTGTCCTGATGTGAGCTTCTACTCGGGGTTTTTTCTTCATGTTCAGAGCAGAAATGTTTTTGTTAAGAAACTGGATGTTGTGTTTTTCTCCACAATTTTAATTATATAGATACATTTCTACTAATGAAATGAGTTTGCTAACAGCAACAGGGATGAGTCAGTGAGTCAGTTGGGTTTGTGAATCATGATTCAAGAGTCAGTAAAGTGATTCTCGAGTACTGAACGATTCGTTCATGATTCGCGCATCACTACACGCCGCTTTGCTCGCTAAAACAGCGGTGTCGGCACATAAGGACGCTGTCATAGCCTGTCAACGTTGATTGGCTGCATATATACGAAGGTGGGATAAGGCGGCATCGTTCTGATCCCGTACAGGAGCAGCCAGTCACTGTCTGACTATGACTGAAGAACAGAATTGTTAACGCATTTATTTTAATTTCAGTTCAGGTAGATTTTCTTCTGTGTGCAGAGGCCGTGCAGCAGTGCACAATTGTGCACGCGCGCAGCTTGGAGGGAACATTGGTCCCCGCACTGCTTCAGGAATGCTGAGCTCCAGCTCTGGGGAGGCCCATCCATGACTGATAGTGCTCCACTGTGTGTTGACATGCTTTCACTGCGCTGGCAGTGTGTATGGGATCATCGTCAGGCTGAAAAATGAGGCTGCCAATCAGAATCTTTCAGATGTTACTGCATGTGGATCAAAATCTGATTTTCTTCATTAATCAGCAGTTTTAACTCCAACACACATCCAGCTAAATGAAACCAGTCCAAAGACTCTGGCACTGCAAACGTCTCTGAAAGTGTTTCCACTGATGATTCCCAGCAGTGGCTGTAAGCTGACAGTATTTCGTCTGCCCCTCCTCTGTGTTAGGTCTTGAGGCTGAGATAAAACAGGAGCGTTTCAGTCATCTGCATCTTGATATTTTGAAACCAGACTCGTCACTCATCACTTTTGATCCTAAATTCTCAGTGAGAGAGAGCGAGGAACAAAAGCCAGCTCCTCCAGATCTCTGAGCTAATCAACCCGACAGGCTGGACGAGCTCAGAGATCAGCTGAGCAGCAGGCTCACCTCCTGACCTCTTACAGCCAGAGGACGTCTTAATGCAGGTTTGCCATATTTGGAGGGACTTTCATTTTTTGTGTCGTCTGTGGTTACACTTTTAGTTTTTCATATGTTGCCTCTAAACAACCACCTGATGGTGCTGTTGTCTCTGTCAGCTCCACCTAAACTTTGAAGCAAAAACAGGAAACAGGAAAGAATAAACAAACATCAAGAATGGGCAAAAGTACTTTTAATAATCCAGAATTTACAAAACAAAGATCAGAAAGAATCAACAACATGTTTCACGCTTTTATTTCATGGTTAACTTTTAAAATCACAACTGAACACTGAAGCCAGCAGGAACGTTTTATTGCAGCTTGTCGTCAAATTTTCTTTCTTCATTTGAAACCAGCAGTGAGAACCAGGTTATACTGAGGTTAACTTCATTAACATTCACTCACATAATTAATTTGTTTGCTTCAGAAAAGCTGGACACGAAAAGCAGACGGAAAAGAAACTCCTGAAGGCACTTTGGTGTGAAGACGTTTGCTTTTCACAAGCAGCTCAAACCTCAAAACTCAACAACAAGAGAAGAAAGCAGGACTTCCTGCAGGGTCTGATCTCATCTCTTCAGAGCCCCTCATCCTCACAGATCAGCTGTAAGAACACAAAGAAAACACAAGTTTGAGATCACAACTACAGGAAAACTTGTAAAAATAACTCAAACCGTCTGAAAATCTCAACCCGGTGACGCTAACACGCACCAGAGTTAGCGCAGTTTAACGTGACGTTGTTCTGGAGTCACCTCAGCTCTGAGAGATGCTAACGCTAACACTGACTCTACTCGAATATTCAGGTTTATAGATGCTGAAGTTTTTTGGGCAGAGAAGTAAACGGTGCTGCACCGAAAACCTCCTCCAGGTTGCTTTGGTGCCTCGTAGTTTGCATAGAAGTCGCCGACTTGCAGCGAGTCGTCAACGACTCACTGAGCTGTTGTGGCAGAGCTCGCCTTCAGAGTAAAAGCTGCATGAAATGTGTTGGCTACAGCGATAAGGCACAACTTTTACTTTGAAAGCAAATGTTCTGTTTCCTGTGGTTGGTGTTTGCAGTCTGATCCAGTGCGAACAGTGTTGCCAATTTAGCGACTTTGTCGAGTTTTCAGACGTGAAAGCGCGTATCGCTTTTACTCTCAACAAGCAGCGGGTGCTGTAACGCAGTCAGTTCTTTTACTCTTATGCTGTTTTGTGGATCACAAGGTTTAAAACGACTTATAAACACACACACAAAGTAACTCCACCAGAGCGCCTATTTCGGGTCAGTTTGCCGGTCCAAGCCCGGGTAAAGGAGCAGGGTTGGAATTGTGACATTAAAAAAAAAACAATAATTGCTAAACGAAATTTAATTTGTAGTTCTAAATAAACTCTAACTGCATTTAGGACGTTTTTACTCCCTTTATGTCTCTTCCACGATGTTATTTCTCTCTCCAACAACATAGGTGCAATTAGATTAGCATGACCAATTATGCAAATTAGGCGATGACATCATTTAGAGACTTTTAGGACAACCAATAGCGATTTTCCTTACTGAGGAGTTGGCAACACTGAGTGCGAACCACAGGAGACTGCAGAGGTCTGCTACCAGAACATAAAACACACACAGGTTTTAGGTGCAGCACTTTGGGGCTGATGTAACCTAGGCAACAGTCACCCTCCAGTCGGAGACAACACGCGTTTCCTTGACTGCAGGTTGCTGAGCGGTCACCGGGAAGCCTGAGCTAACAGTTCAGTGGAAAGTCCTTCAGGAGCGACTCCAGCTGATCGAGGCGACCAGAGTCAGAGGTCAGTTAGGTTAACTAGTTCGACTCATGGACACGTTGCCTAACATGGTTAATGACGGCTCTCCTGACAGGTGAAGCAAAGGGCGGCACTCACCGTTAGCTGAGCCGTAGCAGGCAGCATGCAGGGTTAGCAGGCGAGCAGCACAGCTGGACAGAAGCTGACAGATGTGACGAGACCAGAGCGAAGACAGAAATAAACGAGCAGAGGCGAGCGCTCGATGAGCAGCCGGTCCACAGCGACGCTTCACCTGCACAGGTGAGACAGCAGCTGCTGCCTCAGGCTACAGCCACAAAGCAAAGTTCTCAGAAGTGTTTGTCCAGCTACAGAACACACCTCCACCCGGGAATTATTTATTCACCTGGATCAGAATACAGAAAATTCAACAGGAAAAAATGTTGATGACAGTCGTCCAGTTCCCACAGGTCAAAATAAAGATGGCGAGTCCACAGTGCTGCACATTCACCACGACCGAAGCAATGAAACGACCCGCGCTTCATCCCCATAAATCCCAACGCGGTCGCGACAGGAAGGACGTGGAACAAGTAAAGCTTGTATTGTGTTTTAACGGCACCTGAACATGCGTCACTAACACGTTTAGAAACGCTCTCTGCTTCAGCAGCCCCTCGTCACGGTCAGCGTGGAATAAAATACTCCATATGACAGGGGTGGGGAACTCCACAGTGTCCTAGTCCGGGCTGACGTTGACTGTGTGACAGCTGATTATATTAATATGAGGTATTATTATGGTTCTTTTGAATGTGTGGTGTGTTTGACCAGAGGAGGGCGCCGGTGAGCTCCACGCTGCGCGCAGTGGAAAAGTCCAAAAAAGAAACTGAGCTCAGACGCAGGCGGAGGACTCTCCATCAAACACGAAGGTCCTCGCTGCTCGTTTTCTCCATAACAGCAACCGTTAATTATGGGCCACGGTTTCCTGTGCTTTGGATAAAGCGCTGAACTGTTTGGCTTAAATGATTCAACCTCTATTTTTATGGATGTGTTTAAGCGCCTCCAGGACCCCGTCTGAATCACTGTAACCCTGCTCTGACGCTGCACAGTTTCTGCAGGAGGCTGATATGAAGTCTGGCAGCCCGCTGCTAGAATCACAGCAGCAGTGATATCAAAGTCCACACCCAGAAATTAAACTGCTCCGGACGAGGCAGCAGCTGTGACGTCTGCTCTCAGGCCTTTTCTCAAAGTTTGCAGCCCCACTCGTCTGTGAGGCAGACGAACAGTAAAATCGAGTTACTGTGGCCTCTGCAACCAAGTGTTCCAGTAGTTTATGCAGGTCAGGAAATGTGTGTGTGTGAAAGCTGGAGACTGAATCAGAGATGACCGGATACTCGCAGGACAAAGAGACGGGCTGGCAGGAAACATGAACCAGGAATAAAAACCAAATCCAATGATTCGCAGTCACACCTCTGCCTCCATAAACAGGCAGTAGCCCTGAAGTAACGGAGATAATGAAAGCTGTGTGTCTGAGGTCAGCGGCTGGACTGAAGAGGAGCATCTCACCTGTCTGAGGTAAAGAAGGCAGCGCACAGCAGGACCGAATCACATGAAGGGGAGTCTGAGGACGCGTCCACGCTGTGACTGCAGCACCAAGCCTGATCTTCTTCACATGACTCAAAGAGTTCCCATCACACGTCTGTGAAAATGCTCCCAGAGCTCGTCCAACCTTGGAGCCTGGGAAACTCACGTCAGCCCCAGCGTGGTCACGTGACCCCGGCGCTCTTTTCTTTTAGATTAAAAGCTCGTGAAGCCTCACAACACTGAGCGCGCCCCTGCTGCAGCTGGAGCGTCTCCTTTATCCCCACAGAGAACATGTGACCCACATCGGCCGCCTTTTGTCCCTGCTGGGTCACACTCAGTTGGTACACTGCTGGGAGGTTAAAGGGGCGGGGCTGAGCTTCCTGTTAGCAGACGGTGAAGGACAATAATGATAAGAGGATAAGCAGCCGCTGTCTGGAGCGGCGGGCTGGTGTAAACACAGACCATGTGACCAACAGCAGAGGAATGAGCGTGAAACAGGGAGGAGCATCAGCCGCAGGGATAGACCAATCAATAATCAGTCATCAGCACCTCATGCAGAATATCTCACTGCAGAGACAGGAAACGATTAAAAGTTGGGACACGCCCACTCGTGGGCAGAAAACACAAAAACATGTTCTCAGTGTCAGCAGGGACCCAACCAGCAGCTGGACCCGAACGTCCACAGGAGACACAAACACAGACCCTCCCCACGGAGGAGACTCCACGCTCACAGTGAAAGAAGTACCATAATGGCGCTACACGCACGGCTTTAATATCCCTTTAGTAACATTCTGTTTTCTGTTAATGTTGCAGCTGAAGCGAATCACACGACGGCTTCTGTAAACGCTGATTCTCAGAGTTTATTTTTATCGTCATTTTGCAGATTGACTCAAATAATCAAATCATTGCAGTTATTACAGATGCTCTTTAATTAATTGCTTTGATCAACATGTTTGTTCTCCTGAAGAAACTTCAGATGAGAGACGTCAAACCTGCAGCTGCTGTCGGCTCTGCAGGACAGACGTTAATCAGTCTATAGCTTCTTATTGGACGCTTTGATCTAACTGGCTGCATTTGCTCTGTTTCTCACTGTGAATGTCGGCGTCAGTCTATCTGTGCTGCAGCGTTAGGGGTGATTAAGGACGGGCAGGGCTGAGGGTTCAGGGAGGGGATATTCTCCTTACCAGCTCCTTCCTAGCACACTGAGTCTGCTGAGGCTGATTACAGAGAGGTAAAATCAGACGTGAGCTCTATCCTGGAAAGATAAAGGTGGAGGCTGTCAGACACGTCACTCATACAATCCAGACAAACGTGCAAATTCTCCAGAAAAAAAAAGGTTGGTGCATGCCGGGATATTCCAGGAGGGGCGGATATAAAAAGAAGCTTAAATGAAAAGTTTGTTTTATGTCACTTAAAAAAAGCCCGATGATCACGATTCTGCGTGTAACTGAACACGGCTATCAGACACACGCACGCGCTGTCATAACCAAGTTATAAGTGAGAGCAGCACATCACAGGTGTCACATGATGGTGATCCTCCCAGTATGCACAACATGTATTCTGATGAATAAGGATGCAACAGTCCCAGTACAGGACGCATCAGGCTGCTGCAGCAGGACTGGGACCAATCAGGGATGAACTTTGACCCAAACCTGTGCAAAACAAACTGCAGCGCTGGCTGTATCTGTCTTTGAAACACGCCCATCTCTCTGCATGCAGCACAGCTGCTGCTGCATGCAGACACCTCATGCACTAACGTAGATCCATCACATGATGCATGACAGCTGATTACAAGAGGACAGAAAAATGACTGTTTGTGGTCAGTTAGCATCTTTTGTGCAAGCCTCTGTGTCCCACAGCGAGGAGCGACCTTCAGTCTGGAGGGACTCGCCCTTTCTCGAGTTTCTCCTGACTCAGAAGGTTTTGGCCTCCAGGTGTTTGACACCCTGCCTCAGGGAGGACGAGGCTGGGGTCAGACTGAACACAAAGGTAAGGTCACTGCGCAGCTGGAAGCAAACATTCAGAGTTTAACAGATGCTCGGCGAGGATTCTGCACAGGCTTCTCTCAGCAAACTGAGAACAGAGAGGCCTCCCCTGCTCCAGGAACACAGTGCAGCAGCAGCACCAAGCCACACAAAGCTCCAGTGCCCAATCAGAGCGCTGCAGACGTGCACTCCCCACACCGACAAGAGCAGAAAATAAAAACGGTGAAATCTGCCAGACTTTCGTCCGCAGGCTGCTTCTCTACTTAACTGTGATTCAACAAAGAAGCAACGGGAACTCCGTCCAGCTGCAGGCTCACAGACGGGCACAGACAGCATGTAGCAGCAGATTACATAACACTGCGTTCAGACAGCGTCAGCCTCAGGACGCGTAGAACAGACACGAACGGAGGAGACAGAAGCTGCTCTGGATGTACGAACCAGAGCGCTCTCTCGCTCCGGCGAGGACGGACCGAGTCCTCGGCAAAAGTCTCGATTTGAATAATCAGCTGCCTCAGTTAAAATTCTGCTGGGATGGAAACACAGGCGTGTGTGAAGAGCCTCAAGAGGCAGAGCTGCTCCCAGCACAGGTACGACAAAGGTGTACCTGAGGTGGTGCAAAGGGAGGCCATGGTTCTGGTTCCACACCGAGCCCAGTCTACACCAAGCAGCCGTTTACTGTCGGTGGGTTCAAGTCTCCACCTTTCCTGCTTCTCCCATTCATGGCGTCACGCCCTTCCCTGTTCCCGCCCACTTTTAACCAATCAGCATTCGACTGACACACAGCATTGTCCACACTGAGCCACGTGCTGGTAGAGACAGCTCTCTAACCACATCCATACAATAGCTGGTTAATTAAAACCTGATGAGTTCAAATGAAACCACAACTGTTTTTTGTTTCCTGAGCTCTTCCATCAAATCTTCCACGCCGAGTGTCAGAAAGGTTTAAGGAGCCAATCAGCTTTGGCTGCTCCGTGCAGCCGACCCGTCCATGCAGGATAGAACAGCGTGATCACGGCACACAGCACCAAGGTCAGTGTTAGCATGCAGTGAAACTGTCAGCCAGGAAACCAACCTCTGCTCCTCCTCCATGTCCTCCTGGGTCATCAGCACTGCCATCTTACTCTGTTTCATTCCCGGAGTGAAGCTCAGCACATCAGCAGCTGCAGCCACATCTGGAACAGCAGAGGGAGCGCAGACATGTTAGCATCTGGCTGATGTCAGCTCTAACTCATCAGCTCATACTGACAATACAAGATTTTTCTTTTTTTTATTCTTTATATTCGTTTGCTGAGTGACTAACAACTAAAGTGCATCTCTGTTTTCTTTCTTGAAGTAACGAGAGCGGCAGGACTCACATTTTTGGTGAAAAGTTCTTACTGTAGATTTAAAAGAGCTTAGAAGCAAAGTCCAAGCGGTCACATCCCTGCAGTCTGTGGTTGATCATTTCTGCCACTGTATTTGTGCAGCAATAACCTCCGAGCACACAAACGCACCTGTCGCTCCAGCTGCTGCGTGACAGCTTGGAGATCATATGGCGAGCCGTCAGCCTGCACGCCAAGAGCTTTGCTGCCTGTTCAAGATTAAGTATCATCCTCCTGCAGCAGATGGCTGCTTCACCTCTACGCACGCCGGCTGATACAGTAACCACGCTCTGGCTCAGCCAGCGTCGACAGCCGGCCGCACGGAGCACGGTTACGCATCATGCATGAACCTGGATACTGATCCAGACTTGCAGGTCACAGTGATCACAGGGAGTAGCCGGATTTCCTCCTTGCTGATTCATTAACAGCAAATCAGCTGTTCTAAAATATATTCCTCTGGGTCACACGTTGTATTTCAGTAGCCCAGCATCTGTGTACACTCCTAATGTTTCCTGGAAGTGACTTATCTGTGACGCGCAGCTGCTGGCCTCAGTTTTCTGCTCAAAGATTGTCTTCAGTGTAAACGAAGCTGACACGTAAACCCAGAGCACGTATGTGGGAGCTTCAGTGTTCACAGCGGGTTCAAACTTTCAGCACGTTTAGTCTGTTTTAGCAGCAGATATACTGAACCAATGTCATTGTCACATACATGTTACACCACATGTCACTGTTCAAAGCAAATGTTTTTGAGGTGTTGGCATTGAGACGTTCAGGAGCCTTGAGCCAACGGTTGTCGTGATTTGGCGCTAAATAAATAAAGTGAAATTGAGGAACCATCATTCTTCACTAAAGAAATCAGTACACAGGCTGTACTGAATTATTTAACAGGTTTTTTTTAACAAGTTTCAAATTTATGTTGAACAGAAGAGGCCCCAGGATAGAGCCTTGGGGTGCTCCTAATATTTAATTACTGGAAACTTAGACACTAGGCAGTCCTTGGCCAAGAAATAAAACCAGTTCTAGACTCATGTGGTCCACCGAGGTCAACTAAGACCAAAACCTCTCTGAACAGAGACAGAAGAGTAGAAATGCACAGTCCAGCTAGCAGACTTACCATCATCCAGGATGGTCTCTGGTTCTGGTTCCTGCTTGTGCGATGGTTCTGTCAGACCTTCATTGGGTCCGGGCATCTGCTCAAGCAGTTCTTCAGGTTCAGTCGCGGGCTTCTGGGCTGCCACTTCAGACACGAGCACAGGTTCTGGATCAGTAACAGGTTCTGGGACAGTTTGGGGTTCAGATAAGAGTTCAGGGGACCTGTCTGGTTCTGATAAGGGCTCTGCTACAGGTTTGGACTCTGGGGTAGGTTCTGCAGCTTGTTCTGGGCCTGATACCAAGCCTGGTATGGGTTCAGACACTGCTGCTGCTTCTTGTGCTTCATCTGGTTCGAGAACAGGTTCTGGGCCTGACACAGCTTCAGACACAAGTTCTGATACTGTGACTGATTCTAGAACAGACTTTGGCCCTTTTGTTGGTTCAGGGACTGCTTCTGGTGCTGGTGGTTGCTCTGCTCTTGTCTCTGGCACTTTTATTGGTTCAGCCACAGGTTCTGGTGCTCTGACTGCTTCTGTGACCTCTGGATCTTCTGCTGCTTCCGGCTCAGCTTCTGATATCTGCGCTGGTTCTGGGACATGTTGTGGTTCTGGGACAGCCTGAAAAGAGAAAGATTATGAAAACAGTTCACAGCAGTGGACGTCACAGTTGAACGAGCAGCTCGCCGACTGTCAAAACTGAGATAAACCTGATAAACCTGCTGAAGTCTGGAATCTGCTTTGGGAAAGTTTATGAATGACGTCATCCTGTAATTCAAAGTAATTTTTCCTTTTGAGAAAATGAAACAGATTTCACGAAGGCTGGTTTTTGATAACTTTAAAGACCTTTATTACAAAATGGTTTTTAGGATTACAGACCGTTATTACACAGTAAGAGCACAGTTAACCCGTCAATGTGCAAATATTGTCTTGCTTGTTCAAATCTCACTGGCGCTGGATTTTGCTGACTCGGGAAACCGAAACCAGATGCTTTGAATCTGGGCCGCAGAGGAAAACCAAACAACCGCCATGAAACAAGAATTTCATGAAGCAGAGAAATGTAATATCAGCCAGACTTGAAGGAAGACTTATACCTCAGCAATGAAAAATACCTGGACACATGTGGACTCCCTGTAATGACCTCTGCACAGACCAACTCATCTGGAGGTCATTACTGTCACTCGCAGCACCTCCACAGCAACACTGGGACAAATAAAACCCTCCTCAGCTAACCTGTCCCTTCCTTGACACCCAGCAGCTCATCCATACAGCTATGTACAGTGTATGTACTATATATACCCAGGTATATATCTAGCGGCTGACCTCCCTATTTGGCTCTACTGTTGCACCTGTCTGTGCTGAGGTTGCACACATCGACATCCAAGCAGCAGATCTGGTTTCTGCCTCAGCCTCTCTGCCATACCACCATCCAAACTTTCCTCCCGTCCTCGTCTTTAGGAGGCGCTTGTGGCCTTAAAGAAACCAAACACTTGGAAGGCTTTATGGAGACGAAGGAACTTTGAACTCTATTAAACTGAGATCTGTGACTGCGTACAGTGAGCTCATTGCCGAGTTCTAGAAAGCAGTCCAAGATGATCTGAGCTTTGAGACCTGGAGCTGGCCTGAGGTCATACAGGGATGGGCATGGCCAGCAGCAACACTCGGGCAGTGTAAACCATACTAAGCTGGTACTGAAACCTCCCCACACCATCACACGAGCAGCGGCCGGAGCACAGGCAGGATGGATCCATGCTGTCATGTTGATTCCAAACTGACCGTCTGAACGTGACTCATCAGACCAGCAAACATCTTCCTCTGTTGGTGTGTGAACTGAACCCTCAGATTCCTGCTCGCACTGACAGGAGTGACACGGTTGTGTGGTCTTCTGCTGCTTCAAGGTTCAGAGATGCTCTTCTACATACCTTGAATGTAATGAAGAAGCTTCTCGGATGAGAGGGGAAACGTCTTCAAGCAACCTAAAGAAGTCCAGACACTTTTCTTTGCAAGCTCCTTAGACTATTAGAGTTTCCGTTTCCTTCCTATCAGTCTGTCCATTCTCCTCTGACCTCAAAGCTTTTTCACAGAGAGGTATCATAAGGCAGCGGTCTCCAACCTTTTTTGCGCCACGGACCAGTTTAGATCGCGGATACAAGCGGCAGAAATGAGCTTCCTCCGAAGGGTGGCTGGCCTCTCCCTTAGAGATAGGGTGAGAAGTTCGGCCATCCGGGAGGGGCTCAGAGTAGAGCCGCTGCTGCTCCACATCGAAAGGAGCCAGCTGAGGTGGTTCGGGCATCTGACAAGGATGCCCCGGGGCAGACCCAGGACACGCTGGAGAGATTATATCTCTCGGCTGGCCTGGGAACGCCTTGGTATTCCCCCGGACAAGCTGGAGGAGGTGGCTGGGGAGAGGGAGGTCTGGACCTCTTTGCTTAGGCTGCTGCCCCCGCGACCCGGCCCCGGACAAAGCGGATGAAGATGGATGGATGGAAGGATGGACCAGTTTATGCCCGACAATATTTTCACGGAATACAACAAAATAAAACTAGTACCGGTACCGAAAAAAAGAAGATTTATTCATAACACACGTGAAAAGACCCAGGAAAACCGAGTAAACGATAAAAACGATAACAAAATAACGCTGAAAACCGATAAAAACCCTGAAAACTATACATTTCACACCTGAGCCTCGACTCTCGCAGCCCGGTACCAAACGACTCACGGACCGGTACGAGTCCGAGGCCCGCGGGTTGGGGACCGCTGTCATAAGGTACATCAAGTTTATAGGATGTTAAATCAAAATGACAAAGTAGTAAATCAAAGATTAGAAAGCAAACATCCAGCAAACGTCAGTCAGACAGTGATGTGTCACAGTCTGAGTGTTGTAATGAGGCGGACCATAACAGCCCCTGAACTAGAAGGTTTGGATCATATGAACAAAAGTGTGACACGTCTTCTAGGAAATGGCCATTTTTATGAGTATTAACCGATCTTGAGCCCAGAGAAATGGAGGCAGAAATCTTTTTTTGATTTTAGGCTCGCTCTGCTCCATCGGTCTCGCCCTGACCCGGAGAGACCCCACAGTCTGCTGCTGGTCTCACCACAGAGACAGCTGGTGCACGCTTGTCTTAACCCCACAGCAGCCCTCCATCACAGCCTCACACTGGCATGGCATCTGTTTAGCCGGAAACACGGGTCTCTTCCTCTGAATTCCTGAGCTCTGAATCACTGAAATACCCACGGTGCTAAATGCAGCTCATTAAATCGCTCTGTGAGTCAGCAGAACGATGAGGACGGGCCCTGTTTGGACTCCGGGCCTAAACCAGAAAACAGTTTGTTAAAGGAGTGATGAGGTCATTGTGTGCAGCGGCGTCCTTTCATGCAACAAACATCAACTTCCTAATTTGGAGAACGTATCTACCAGGCAGCACGAAAGTTAATGTGTGACCAATTTACCATCGGCACATAAACCATCAAACTTACACGACTTAAACTCTATCGACAGATTATTTTTGATATGAATATGCAGTGAAGGGATGAGACGTTTGCTACGGGAGGTTTTCTGCTTTCTGTTCGTAGCCCGACTTCAAACGAGCGATTGCATTCATTCAGTCAGAACAGATTATGACACCAAATTAGGATTGTGAGCTCTTTAATTGGGACCATGTTCTAAACTCATTAACAGTCATTATAAGATATGATTGCAAGAACGTACAAAGGCTGAAGCTGGGATTCTGGAAAACAAGCTCTTCCACTGTGGATTAGGCTCAGTCACCGCCGCCTTCACCACCTCTGAGAGCACGTCCTGCTAAGCATATCTGTAACATTACACTGAGTGCTGTGCTCCTAAAAGCCATTTCAGCTCCATAACAGGCGCAGAGGAAGCATCAGCTCAGCTGGCATGTGGGGAATTCACTGAGCTACCTGAGCAAACCGGACAGATCACTCAGACGTCGGACACACGATGCAAACGTTTCAACCTCCAAGCTTTGCTTTGCTTCTTTTCTTAAACTGTTTCTTACACCTGCAAATTACAAAACAAGCCTTCAGGTTTTCTTTGAACCGCATACAGCAGCTCTGACAGCAGACGAGGAGCTCGGTGAGACAGGGAGGAGGTCGGGGTGGGTGGATGGGTCAGCTGATTACTTCAAGCTGTCAGGTAATGTTACAGTGGAGCCACAGCAGGTAAATGTTAATGAGGGCTTATTGGTGTTGTTTGAAGGCAGCTGGACGCTGTGAACACAGCTCTGCTCTTCTGTTATATGAGATTATAAAGTTTACAGTGAAAAAGAAAAACGTAATTAATCAGAATAAAATCAATCCACCAGCTGGGCCACGTGGATGTTACAGACTGCAGGTGATTTGGTCTCATCTGATATAAGAATTCTTGCTCCACTGATTTTGGAGACGGTTGCTTGGCTACAGTTGTCATTTGCAGGTCTTCCCATAAATTTCATCCCAGTATGATTCAGCTGAGGGCAGCGTGCCGAGGCGAGCGCTCCAGCCTCTGTGTGAACAGACTCTTTGTTATCCTCCTGCTCGCTGCCCTATCTCCACTTCAGCTGCTGACTCCACCTCCATTTACGACGGAGACGCTTCCACCGTGTCCTCTCACACAGATCATCTTACTTCATCTCATACAAACCAACATCTGTGAGACAAACATTTAGATTCAGAGTGCGAGGCCAATCGCTGAGACCGGCCCTTTCACATACTCTGTTTCAGGCTCTGGTGGTGCTATAAAGAGCAAACTCCTCCCCAGCGCCAGCAGCTACAACCAATAAACACCAGGAAGTTCTCTCAGAGGCCGGGCGGGGACAGGGTGTGGTTGCGGCGGTGGTGGTGAGGGTGACGGTGCCAAGCTCAGTGTAATCACCACATTGTTTTGTCCCGGATTTGATGCCCAGCCAGCAGCTCTGTGGAGCAGAGGAGTACTGAGCCAGAGCCGAGCAGGCCTCAGAGGGAGGAGGAGAGGCAGGAACGGCGCCAGGCCGGGGGAAATACCAGCAGAGGTATGTCAGGCTGGAGAGAACGGCTCACAGCTTCCACGACTCGCTGCTGCTCAGTTTGATAAAACCCAAAGAAGACGAGAGTCCCACGTATTTGATTTCATGTATAGTTGTTCCTGAAACACCAAACGTTGTGACTGTTTCCTCCCAGAGTTCAAGCACATCCTGTTGAAACCTCGGCTCTTTTTATCATAATGACCTTGTAGTACCATATCACCCTATTAGAGCACTTCGCTCTCGCTCTGCAGGCCTACTTGTTGTTCCTAGAGTATTTAAAAGTAGAATGGGAGGCAGAGCCTTCAGTTTTCAGGCCCCTCTTCTGTGGAACCAGCTTCCAGTTTGGATTCAGGAGACAGACACTATCTCTACTTTCAAGATCAGGCTTCAAACTTTCCTTTTTGCTAAAGCATATAGTTAGAGCTGGACCAGGTGACCCTGAATCCTCCCTTAGTTATGCTGCAATAGACGTAGGCTGCCGGGGATTCCCATGATGCACTGGGTGTTTCTTCTTCACTCACTATGTATTAACAGACCTCTCTGCATTGAATCATATCTGTTATTAACCTCTGTCTCTCTTCCACAGCATGTCTTTATCCTGTCTTCCTTCCCTCACCCCAACCAATCACAGCAGATGGCCCCGCCCCTCCCTGAGCCTGGTTCTGCTGGAGGTTTCTTCCTGTGAAAAGGGAGTTTTTCCTTCCCACTGTCGCCAAAGTGCTGCTCATAGGGGGTCATATGATTGTTGGGTTTTTCTCTGGATGTAGGTCTACTTTACAGTATAAAGCACCTTGAGGCGACTGTTGTTGTGAAATAAAATTGAGTTTTCACTATCAGCAGGTCAGTTTTTCAAGGAGCGAGTGGCATATCTGGCCGAGAGCTGCTTTCATGCGTCTCAGCCTGATTTCTCCTTCTTGTTCAGCCGGCGTGACTCTGTGACATGTTTCTGCTTAGCATGTTGGACTAATCCTTCTGTTAACGTTACTCCACCTCCATCCAGACTGCAGCCTAGATAAGGCAAACACAGAGAGAGCAGCGCGTTGTGCCCAGATTAATGCAATAAAGAGTTTTTTTATTGAGCTGATGTGCTCGGGCTGGAAAAAGTGCTGCTTCTCGTTTAACACGTGGACACAGAGGAAACATCTTTAGCTCAAAGTCAGCAGTGAAAGTTGTTTCTTCAGAGCTGGTTAACATTTCCTCTCCTTCCTCATTCTTTGAAAGTGTGTCGCTCGTGGCGAAGCAGCTCTCCATTTATGGAGATGTGAGTGAGCTCACGTCGTGCAGCTTTCACCGGAGGAACGAGACGAAGCTCTGCTGTTTAGTCTCTGCATCAACATCAGAATCAGCACAAGCATCAGCTGACAGTGAAATTAAAACACGTTTTTAAAACTTGAATATTCTTCATGGATTTTCTTGGAATAAATCTAAACGTCTTAATTCTTTCCTCTGCGGCAGTAAAATGTTAAATTAATATTTAAATGATTCTAATTAGAATAATTATTTCCCAAACATAATGTTCCTTATGTTTTGGTCCCCAGCTCCAACACCACAAAATGATCATTTGACTAAGTCAAATGATCCAAACTAAACTGAGTGTTTTATTCCAACGGTCAGAGCAGGAAACTCTTCCACAGCACATCTACGGAGCAGGAAGGCTGAGGGTTTGATTCCCAAACTTTCTTCCTTCTGTCTGAATGTAAGTTTGAGGTAAAATAGAAAGTGCAGCCAGTGTCCCTTTGGCTGTGCTGCTGTCACTCCCACACAGAAAACAACACTCGCTGTGTTCCAGCGCTCAGACAGACGTCCTTTATGAACGCTGTGAGATGGCCCACGATGCATTGCGGCAGTCGTACAGTAAGCCTGACAGCTGCAGCTCGGTGTGCTTGGGTAACGTTATCAGAGGAGGCTCAGCAACTCAGAGCCACTGGATTAAAAAAGTGGGATCAGCAGGTTGAGCTCACAGCTGTCAAACATGCCCACGCCACAGCGCCACACCCACCTCCTATAGGTGGTGTCAGTGTGGAGTTAGTGTCTGGCACCAAATATAGACGGTTAGTCGGAGACCTGTTACACATTCTGCAGGCTGTTTAAAGATGGCGGGCAGATGGTTTGCATGTTTAACAGCTCTCACATCAGCAGGTATTCAAACGAGTCCAACACCACAGCTTGTGTGTGCATTTCACTCCACCCTCCCAAAAACAGTTCAACATTTCCATAAAGACGAGTCAGAGTGTGCACAAGCAAATCCACCAATCACAGGGAAAAGGTGGGGACCATGTTTGGGCATCGGGCCTCCAGTCGTCTAGTCCAGAGTGCACCCGCCGTTTACTGGTGGACGGTTATTAATCACTCACAGAGCAACACACAGAGGTAGCTCGATGAGAGCAGGTGGTAACTCGGGGCAACCAAACATCCAAATGAAGCTCTACAAGCTGCAGTTCCTCTCACGTCCACTAGAGGCTCCCATGTTAAACCTTTATTGCAGAAATACACATGTTCACAGCCCGATGCACAAACTGTCAGCCTCTGTGGATCGTTTCCTCCTTCACAACACCTGTTTATAGCTCACCTGTTTAAACTGTATTTAGATTCAAGACTCTTTATTCGTCACACGCATAGTTATACAAGTACAACCTGCAGTGAAATGTAACCTGACACGCTGCTCGACTTGTGCAAAAGGGGGGAGAGAGAGCTTAATGTTGGCATTAAGGCTCCTGCATCTGCTAGCTTCACCTGAGCTGGACCTCTGGACCTGTTTGTGCGGTTGGGAGCATTGTTAATGACATCATGTGACCAATAATATGTCTGCTGTGAGGTCCCTGTACCAACAAACTGTCCAATAAGGCTGAGCTAGGTTTTGATTGGCTGTTACTGAGAAGTAGTCAAGTCAAGTTGGCTTTATAGTCACTTCAACCATATACAGTTAGTACACAGTGAAGCGAAACAACATTCCTCCAGGACCAAGGTGCTACATGCAACATAAATTTACAACATAAATTAACAGAAAACACTAAACTAGCTGACTAAGAGGCCTAGTTAGCTGGCTAGCAGAGACCAGACAGACTGACCTAACATAAATTAACAAAAAAAACAAACTAACTTTTTTTGTTATCAGACAGCAGAAACAAAGTGCGCGTGCAAATGTGCAAACAAGAGCAGCGAAGTGACAGAATGATAGAAAAACACAACGTAACATAATAATAAGGTTTTGTGATGCTAAAGTAATGCTAAAGGTTGCTATTGTTAGCCTTCTTTTATTTTTGGTTTAAAAAACCAAGATGGCCACAGTCAGTATCTCGACGTCCGTTTTCCATATACAGTCTGTGATAACTGCAGTTTCACTGATATGTAACTAATATGTTAGTTAGTGATTAGTCGATATAAATAAAGATGTAAAACAAAACAAACAGCCACTAAAATAAACCGATTCAAGCAGGAAGTTCATGTGGACGTAAAGGAGCACCTGCCATCACCTCCAATAATCAGACTGAATAAACAGCAGCTTCCGGTCATCTCTGTCTGATCTGCCAGTTATGCTTTCAGCCAATCACCGTTAACCTAAACACACGAACACAGATCGACTGCGTTTGGTCCGAAACTGTTACAGAGGAAACATCATTTTATCTTAATGACAAAGTTTATCTGAACTTTATCCAGTGAAAAGGAGCAATAGAGAGAGAGGAGGGAGAGGGGAGAGAGGGAGAGGCAGAGAGAGAGAGAGAGAGAGAGAGCAGAGAGGAGAGAGAGAGAGAGAGAGGAGAGACGAGAGAGAGAGGAGGAGAGAGAGGGAGAAGAGACGAGAGAGAGGAGGAGAGAGAGAGAGAGAGAGAGAGAGAGAAGAGAGAGAGAGAGGGAGAGAGAGAGAGAAAGAGAGAGAGAGAGAGAGAGAGAGAGAGAGAGACAGGAGAGAGAGACAGAGAGAGAGAGAGAAGAGAGAGAGAGAGAGAGAGAGAGAGAGAGAGAGGGAGTATGTTCCTGTGGACAAACAATAACCTGGTGTTTGCTGTTATTCTCTTTTTAATCATCTGTTTATATAAAGTGACAGTAAATGATCAAAGTATCTGGTACCGCCTTCTTCAGACGCAGGTGATGAAACTGAAGGACTTTGAGGCTCCTGTCTGACAGGCTGCAGTTACAAACTGCGTCTCGTTTGTACTTCTTACATCTTTTATTGCTTATTGATCAGTTTTGGAACTAAAGTTCATTTCCCGGGTTCGTAGATCTGCGTTTTATCAATTAAAAGTAGCCGCTTCTTTAAAAAAACAAAACAAACAAACAAACACCAGTCTGATCAATAACAGCATCGATGGAGCTCACCTGGATCGTCTCGGCCGCCCCAATGTCCTCCACGCTCGGAGCTGGAGGCTCTGGTCGCAGGGAGGCTTCGGGCTCTTCTTCCAGAGCTCCTTGTGGAAGAAGGTCGTCTCCGTACCCGAGTTTGGACCTCTTGCTCCCGGCAGACGAGGAGGAGGAGACATCGGGCTTCCTGCTGAGGAGCGAAGTAGCGAAATAAATGGCAACGACGGTGAAGAGGATGGCGGGGACGATGACGGCGGGGTCCAAGTCCATGATGAAGAGCCGAAAAGTCACGGAGTGTGTGTTTGTTCAAGAGGAGGCTGAGGACCGTGTGTGTTAATCAGGCTGCGATCACACACACTGAGCCTCATCCCGCCTCCTCACACAATCTGACCTCAACAGCTGACACACACACACACACACACACACACACACACACACACACACACACTGGGGCAGCAGCCGGATCTGCTTCAAAATAAAATACTCCAAGTGGGTTTTCGAAATTAAAGACCTAAAACTCAAATGCGGGGTTCAGAGTGTTTAATACAAACCAGTCTAACGTTTGTACTTTTCAAAATAAGAGACCTGACATGTAGAGCACAATAACTCGCCGGCTTCTTGTTCAAATGAACAGGACTTATACAACTTTAAACTATCTGACACACAGGCTACCACAGCATTGAAGAATGGTTTCAAAAATTATAAACCCTACAAACAGCATGTAAACCCAGTTAGAGATATTTCAAAATAAAAGTCGTTAACAAAGGGGTAAAAGAGGCATCGAGGGCTAATTTTCAAGCAGATAAGCTGCTTACCGAAGCAAAGCCCCAAGCCTAGTGTCTGCGTGGGCATTTAATTTTCTTTTCTTTAAAGTGAATTCAAAGGCACCGGAAGCTCTGCTCGGACTGCAGCCCGACCATCAGGCTGAACAACAGCTTTAAGCGGTCACGTGCTGAGCATTTCCTGTGCAATACCTGGAGTCAGAGTGCGAGTCTGAAATACCTGTTAGGATGTTTAGGATCTGTTCCGCTGCCATTATCAGAATTATTATCTCTTCTTTTTATTTATGACTGAATATTTTCTTTTCTGTTGCTCTTTCATTCTAATGGTCGCACATCAAGTTCGGCGGTGCTTACGATGAGAATACAGATCAACTTGTGTTCTAACTAAATAAATCTTTAAATGCTTTTTGTTTCCCACATTTAAAACACAACAGGCAAGAAGCCTGCCAACCAGCAGACGTTTCCAAGGTCATAAATGGTGTGCGTACACTTGATTGGGCACACCTAGTTATCTGCATGTTAAATAATGAACCAATAAGCCAATCACATGGCAGCAGCTGCTCACACGCAGGTATGGTGAAGACGAGCCGCTGAAGTTCAACCTGAGCATCAGGGTGATGTGACGGTGGCGGGGTTGTTGGTCCCTCTGAGGGCGGAGTCTCATGGATGTACTAACGAGGTGTACCTAATAATGTGGCAGTTCAGATTTTAACATACACATCTCCCACCTGCAGAGCACATTTAAAAAATCTGATTATTAAATTCTCCTGAAACACTTCAGAAAACGAGCTTCAGGTTCAAGACCAGAGAAACGATGCATTTTATTTTCTAAAACATATTTTTAATAATCCTGTTGGGCTGCATAAACAATTCAAGATTTAAAGGGTTTATTGTCATGTGTGTGTAATGCACGGCGACACTAAAGCGATCGCGCCAGAATGTCACGCTAAAAAGAAAGATTCTTTAAAATACAAGGGGGAGCAAGCGAGTCAGATACCACGGGCACAGCGAGGAAGGTCTGATCAGAAACAGTTTATTACTGGGCCAGGGAGCACAAATAAAAACACCCTTAAAATGTACGTAATAAAATGTTGTCTCTCTACTAAAACTAAATAAAATAATCCTAGAACCCGTAAAACTACCATTTTCTACATTCACTAAACCCCCCCCCGCTATAATTATGCCACATGTTCATTATGGGTCCATCAGCAGGCCAGGAATTCCTTCTTTAGAGCAGAGTCCACGCCAGCCCCGTCTTCAGCAGACAAAGAGCCTCCCATCTTCTTGTCCTTCCGCTGGCCCATCACTTCCCAGCCCGGCTCGCGTTCCGCACCCGAATCCATCATGCGACCACCCCCACAGCTCCCCTTGCGTCGGTGTCCTGTAAAATAACAAATGGGGTCCAGAACAATGGTCCCAGAAGCGGCCCTGGCTCATGGCCATGGTGACCCTCTCCCAATCCAGCTGCACCCAGTAAACAACAGTAGAGACCCTACTCACAAATGCAGGCAGAGGTAAACCTCTGCCCTGCTGCCAATCACACGCGTCGTCTCTTACTGTTGCCGTGCCATGAGGTCAGGACTTGGTCGCCGCATCACGCTAGCCATCTCGCATTAACCTTCCAGTCTGGGGCCTCCCTCCTTCAGTGC